GGAAAAATCAGAAGAGTAACACTGGGAGTTTTTAAAGAATCAAGACATCTATGGATGGAAATAGGTGAATTATATAGAGCAGAATTCAAACTAAACAGTGATTCTGTTAATATAAGTTGGAGGTTGGATGTGTAAAATGAAACAAAAAATAAGAAGTTGTACTAAAACAACCCAAAAGTAATGTGGATGGCAATTTTACCGTGTTGCGAGGTCAAAGCTGTTAAAGTAAATGCATTTCTTGTTACAGAATAGCACTACTCAAGGGATCATAAAACCAAACAAAAAACACAGAAAAAGAGAGGAATGGAATTACATTTGAAAACAAAAAAGGAAGTATTTTTAAGGTGTAGGTTTCTATACAGCAAGGTATATCAACAACACTGTCAACACTAAAACATTCAGTGGCCTTGTAAAAGAGAGAAGGTTTAAAGCAGACTTAGAATTGTGCAGCTACTTCCATCTAAGAGCAAGGAGGGGGTGGGGAGAAAGGCTTATATAGAGAAGCCATTCCATGACCACACTCCAGGGCAGAAGAAGTAGCAAGGATAATTTAGTAAATACCCATTCCTTCTGCCTTTGAGAGCAGGTTGCTGGACAGTTCTGAACAGAATTTGACTAACATCCACCAACTTCAATCTCCTACCGGTCCCCCCCCTTTAAGAAAAAAAAGTTTCTTAACTCCTTCTTTCCTAAAATCGTTATTTCAAAGTTGGAGAAGAGACTGAGAGAAGGGAATGTCACTGAAGTCACACATCGGGCTCCTTGCCAAGTCCAGATACTTGTGCATCTAGAGACAACCATTCCCAAAGCTTCTTAGAACAACAGGATCTGAGAGATCCTTATGAGACTACACCTATCCTGTTGCACACAGCACATACTCCGAAGTGACGTGTTTGTTATCTTCAATACTTCAGTAAATCATGTTGCCCAATAGCCATGGGAGTGACCTGCTTACCCATATATACATGTACATTTAAATTTGTGTGCGTGTGAAGAATGTGAGAATCAAAATCAAAAATTACATTTGGACTAAAAAATCCATTTACAATCCATTAAAGGTAAAATACACCAAAAAATAATGAGTTTTATAAAAAGTAATGAAATCTGAAGATAAATTTGAGGCAGCAAAACACAACCAACTTTAAAGCACAAACAAAATAATTACATAAAAAGTAATTTGGTAAACAGTCCTGAGTCAAAAATATAAGGACAGACAGATCTGGTAAGGACAAGCTGTTGCTAGTTTAAAAGAAAAGGGATACTTTAATCAATTTTGTATGAGGATGAAGATGAATCCCTAAAAGCAAAATAGAGGATGCGTATCTTAAGGATGTATCCTACTTCAAGCAGAAATGGAAGAGGGAATTTGTGTGTAGGACAAATAGTATCAACAAAATAAAACAAGTTGTCTGCAAATTATCCACTGAACTTTACATATACTAGTACTGACTTACAAACAAGTTTTAACTCCTATACTAATGGGCTTTAAAGGAAATAGATATCCTGTACATTAAAAAGGAAACCTCCATCTAGAAGAGAAAAGATGATTGCGCTTATCAAAGACGTATTGGCTACTGGCACAAGCCAGTGTATTTCAAAGGAGAGATTTACTGTAGTTAAACAAACTGCAAAACAGCAAAAAAACCCCCTTGATCTCCTGCACAGAACAAAATCAAAACCTTAAGTATCCTACTCTTTCTTGATACATAAAAAAAGAGTTTTAATCAAATGGAATAAGAATACTTGTTTTAGAAAAAGGAAATTTTGCTTTTCCTCTCCTGTACTGGAAACTTAGGACTTCTGAACTAAGCAGGAGCATCTTGTTACTGCTGCTGTTTGCCCTGTGAACCCTCTAATACTGCATTAGGTAAAATCCATTTTCCAAATGCTAACTTCTAACATACACATAATTTTAATAGATGAAGGGATAAATAGGATGAATAACCAAGTAAAAGCTTAGAAAAGAGACTTGGAGCAATGGAAAGATAAAAAACTCGTTTTCCACAAAGATCTTCTATAAAGTACTTTTATCCTTCCTAAAATACTTGTGAGGTAGTACTTACCTCCAGCTAGAACCTCACACCTGTGTAATAATTATGCATCATGATAGAGATGATGTGGAGAGCTGGAGGCTCCTTTTCTCTTTACTTGTGAGACAGTCATGCCCAGAGCTCCCAGATTTCTGGACAGCAGTGTCCACAACCTTTGTGGCAGGTATTTTAAATAAAGTTCAGTTTGAGCAGAATGAAGAATTATGTCCTTCTTGTAAGCTGTTCCATTACTAAAATATGAAGGGCCTATCTGCCACCTACACTGAAAACATGAAATAGAATATAAGACATACCTGAGGTTGGAAGGGACCCCCAGAGATTACACAGAGTCCAATGCATCTGCTCAGAGCAGTGTCAGCTACAGCAACATGCTCAGGACTGCGTGCCATCAGGTTTTGTGCACCCCACAGTGGTTCAGGGTCACCTGTTCCAGCATTCAGTCACCTTTACAGTAAAACAGTTTTGTATTTAAATGGAATTTCCTGTATTGCACTTTGTGCCCGTTGACTCCTGTCCTTCCACTGGGCATCACCAAGAAGAGAGCCTGACTCCATCCCCACTCCTCCCTGACAGGTATTACTGAAATGCCCCCCAGCCTTCTCTTCTCAGTGATAAAAATCCCAGCTCCCTCAGCCTCTCCTTGTACAGCAGATGCTGCAATCACCTCTAATTGCTAAATAGTATGCAGGACAGGGAAAAACGGTCAGTGATAAAGACTCCATTCCTAAGTTACCCAGCACAGAAGTTCATTACACCTGGGAAGCCTGAGACCAGTCACATTCTTTGCACATTAAATACTACTAATAAATGACAAAGCATAAAAACCCCTTGTGCATGTATATGTAAACACATCACTACATAGAAAGTAGATGTGACTCACCTTATAATACTGTTGCATTTATTTTTCTCAAATCTGTAACAATTTCAATCTCATACAAATTCAGCATATTTTGGGTATGTGGGAAACTGTTACTGAAAAAAATCTTTCAGCCACTAAGAATATTTTGATGCAACGTGAGTCTTATCTAGTTAGGCTTCATCTGCACTTAACTGATAAAATGATACTCAGAATGACTTTAAATCCTTCAAGCTACTACAACATAATTACTTCTTCATTCAAATTTGGGCAGCACAGGACACAATTAAATGCACTAAAAATCTGTTGAAACTAAAAGAGCAAGACATATGGAATAGTCCTGTCAGTTATCAGAATTTTGGAACATGCTTGCAGCTTATATTCACCAGACTTGAAGCACAATAAATAATGGCAGTAGGGCAACCTACCCGCCTGGTTATAATGGCCTTAATATCATAAAGGTCTTTAAGATGAGTGTCTATAAAATATTCTATACGTAACACAAAGGAGAAAAGAATGCAGGCTGTATTTTCAGGATGGAGTATTACACGATTTCACTTCCTGCTACAGGACAATAACCTCATCTCTTGTACTTCTCAAAACTCAGAAGTCAAAACTAGATACAGTAAGCCATGGGTAATCTGAGTGCTACACTGAGAAACATAAGATGTAAGAAAGAGCTAATGAGGTTTTTGCAATTATCAGCCCAATGATGTAGTAAAAAACCCATTAAAATTAAGTAAACCTGAGGATGAATTACTAAGTAGCATTGAGAGTAAAGTAGGAGCAGATATTCCCAAAAAGAGGAAGCCACAACAATACTGGAGGGGCTGGAAAACAAACAGTACAGTAAGCTTACAGAACCTATGTATCTCAATGAAAACAAAGTTAAGAGATTACTTGATTAGCATCCATATCCACTTATATTCAGAAGTGAGGGGTGCACCTCTATCCCAAAAGTAGTAAGATCATCCAAGGGCAACTGTCACCTCCTCTCTGCAAACAAGACCTCCCACTTTGGCACATGGTACAAGCTTTACAGTTACAATTCATAAGACAAAAACAAATCCAGAGGATGGAGGCAAAGGACATAGAGAATTTAAAAAAAGGTTTACGCCCATATTACAACCTAATGTATCTTTTCTTTTAAGGAAATATCTAAGACAGAAAAAGAAATCAAGAGGCTTTATATTAAATTTATCCCAATATTTAAAAGCTGAGGTCATAATTCTCACTTATTCAAACAGGAAAGCAGTGGTATAAAACCAAAAATATAAATGCTACAACTTCTGAAGCTACAGCTCCTGAACAACCCATGACCTGCTGAATATAAGCAGCATATTGGAGAATGGTAATGCTACTTGCAACATCATCACTGAGGGCTTGGGCTACAAAACCATTATAGCAGAGTAAAACCCAGATTCTCCTGTCAGCTGAATTGCTGCTTTCTGCTCTTAAAAGCTAACATTTTATTTGCACATTCCAAAAATCCATAATAAATCTTTTTTTATCTGCATCACAAACACCACTGGGCAACTGTTACCACAATACATAATAATCTTAAGTATGGGAAATTTACATTTCACTCAAGACTTATCCATCACTACTGAGCTCCTAAAAGGGCTGTAAGCCCTTATGTAGATTTTAGGCTTGATATATTTCAACTAGTACAGCAAGAAACAGAACAAGAGATAGCATCTAAACCATATTTCATAAAAAGAATATGGATTTACAAACAAATTCAAAAGATAATTTAAATAAACACCAAAAAGGATAATATATTGCCCTTAGACGTGAAGCCAAATCCTATTTCTGAGTATTTCAAGATCAGTTCTAAACACCTTCTTCTCCACAAGCACTTATTGATTTCATTTTAACTTAGGTAATCAGTTTAATAAGACTGGTTAAAGATCAAAGCACTTAAAAGTCACAGAGTGCACTGGTTTCCACACAGGCTCCAACACTGTGAAACATGAACACTACTACATAACAACAGATTTAAACAATTTATTAGTACAGTGAACAAAACAACTAAAATACCACAAAATAACTAGGTTTTGTGGTTTTTTTTTTTTCTTTAAGAAAAAAATTACCTCTACACAAAAGATCTTAAGATCAAGTCCACATAATTTCATCTTTTCCGGAAAATGCTGAAAAACATTCAAATATGGAATATGGCCTTCAACAACAAACCTGCAATAAAAAAAGATGAAGACCAAATCAAGAAAGTATTTAGGATGACAAATACATAGATTTATTATAAAATTAATATACAAATTAACTTCTGATTTGAAATAACGTCAGTATTATGCTGCCTAAGCAATTCAGTCTGAAGTTACACACCCCTAAATGCTCCACAGGACAAAAATCAGTTCCATCATTTAACAGGTTTATAAGTTCCAGCTCAGATATGACTGACAAATGATAACATTTTGGTAGCAAGCACACAATCAACATGTTTACATAGAGTTTATTCTGCACATTCTTCTGCTACTGCATTTCTGAAACTGCTTTAAGCCTCCTTTGAAAGGTATGGAACTTTTTTTTTCAAATTTCTAAAGCCTTAAGTAAATTTTACTTTGAAAAAACACACACTTTCTGCTGGAGGAGTTTGAATCAGGTAATGTGATAGGCAGGAAAGTCACAGAATGATGAGCAAATACAGATGTAATTAATGTGGTTTCAGTTCTATGTATGATGATTTTTTTTTTTTAAAGTATTATTCACGTATAAATAGAAATGGTCTCCTATACTAATAAATCCAAGTAGTTTAATTTTTATTTGCACCCAATAATACATTTTTTTAAATTAAAAACTGGCTTTGGTAAGTGGTTGGCAGTATCTGATTTTTCTTGACTTTTTCCATGTACATACATATTTAAGTTCACCTGCCCTCTACCAGTCCAATGCCCTCAACACTAATTGTTCCATCTAGGGCGTATTTATTGAAGTTGACTAAAATTCTATTTAAAAGCTAGTTACTGCAAAGTTTACAGTTAAAGCTTACTTTTTTTAAAGCAGTCTTATCTGAATTTTCAGTTTAATTGAAAAAATTTATTAAAAACAAGATTAAAATAAAAAGTGTAGACAAGGTGGTATTAGGTCAAAGGTTGGACTCAATCTCAGAGGTCTTTTCCAACCTAGTTGATTCTGTGATAATCAAAACTCTGTCTCAGTTAGAATTAACCCATCGTTTATAACAGTTTCTGAAAAATAAGAGCAATATGAAAAATCACAGTGCCCAATAGTTTTTATTCCAATACTTTGTGTTTAAGTCTCTTAAATGAAGAGGTAAAAGTTGCTGCACAATCCTTCCTAACCAAATTGTGTGAAGAGCATTTTGCTAATGAAATTTCAGTAGCTTTCCTCAGCCAGCATTAGTGTTTCCCACCCCAAGCAGAGTTGTGCACTGGCCCACGTGGTCAGTGAGGCCATCCTGCAAACCCATCTCGCCATCCCACCTGACCTGCAGAGCAGCTTGCAGTTCCTCAGTTCCTTTGAGTCACCCACACTAAATTGAAGAACATAAGCTTGAGGTCTGGTTTCTCAAAATTGATTGAGCCAACCAAAAAGCTCAACATAACTAGCAGGACTTCCCTCCTGGTGATCTGGCCGTGTGTGGTCCTATTGCTCCTCATCCCCTTCCCCAAATGTAACTTGCAACAGCAGCAGAAAACCACCCGTTGCACTGTTGCCTGAAAGGGTTTCTTTCCCATCGTCTAACAAACTGAGGCGGCTCACAGATGGTTCCATGAGTGAAAGAGTTGGCAGAGGGAAAGGGATGCATCACACAGGCAGGAGAACAAAGGGAAGCGAGACCATCCCCTCAATGGTGTCCCATTACTGGCTCAGCTGATAAGCTTTGGCTGGGACGAGTTAAGGCACAATCACACCATTAGACCTGAAGAGCTGGAACCAGAGAGCAGCAACCTCCTGAGCCAGCACAGCAGCAGCTGGAAGAGGACAGACAATCAGGACCTTCCCTCGGGTGTGGTGTAGTGGTGATGCAGCCAAACCACCCTAACAGCTTGCTGCCTCTGAAATGGGAAATCCCACCCTCCCTTCAGTCCCCTGCCACACACTCCTCCCTGCTGACAAAAGCACTTGTGTAACTTCTCAGTGGATCAGACTGAGAATCAGTCTCTTCCAAGGTTTGACTCCAAATGGATAAAGTACCACACTCAGCTGACTGCAGGAACATTACTGCATACAGGCAGAAAGAGAGTGCAACAAAGCACATTAACCTGCACTAAAATGTCCAGAAACTTTTACAAAATAAATCTTCTACAGATCTACTTCTTTCAGTTATTAAACCCTACTTTAGATAAATGCTGCTACCTGTGCAAGAGAAAGAATAGGAATGTTTATGCAGGATCACAGCAACAGAAACTCAGAGCAGCTTAAACTGATGCTGGAACCACATCCTTATGCTGCAAGAGACAAGCAATGTCCAACAAAATGCCTTTTTTAAAGAAGTTTTCACTAATTTGGCTGTACCAAGTCAAAGCACTGCAACTGTTAAAAAAATGACATATTTTCTAGCCTGAAATTACTGTCTCCATAAGAAAGAATTCTCTTTTCTCTCAGGTTAAAAGCCGCTTTTACATTCTAAAACTACAGCACAACTAGCCTGCTATGAGTATAATGTGCTGCTTTTATCAAGTTTTTAACACTTAATCCAGACATCCAGATTTGGAATAGCATTTCAGAACAGTTTCTTCTGTCTGCGGTTCCTCCAAACCTCCCATTTAACAGAGAGATGGTCAAAACACCTGTAAGACTATGCTCTGTCAGGGAAGTGCTTGAAAACATGACTGGCACATAAAGTACACAGGCCATGTTCTCCTAATTACAGCAGCAGTGTACATTAGTAAGGTCCAAGCATGAAAAAAATCCTAGGTCCTCAGCATGCTACAAGGAAATGATGCATCTGCTAAAGCCACACAGTAATGCCACAAACTGATTACAAGTTCAGTCTTGCGAGCACAACCAGGTATAACCTTATTTGAAAGGCATTATTTCTCAGAATCTCAAAGTCTAGGATCTTGAAACTTTTTCCAGAACTCAACTATTTTATTACTTAGATAAATAATATATATCACATGGAATACTGTGAGACTATTTACAATGGAAAAGGATTTGATGTGTAGCATAGGCTTGAGTAGATGGTTGTGAAAAATGTTATTTTTAAACCAAAATGTTCCTTTCAGAGGAAGTAATTGTAGTGTTTTTCTGCTACGTGTGTCAAGTAGCAAGGAGGAGTATATTTTTGGTATTGTAAATCCTTTAAAAGCTGGCAAATTGCCTCACCATAGTGCCTAAGTATGTATCACAAGGGAGGAGTGGTAGTCAGCTGACCTCAGGGTACAGAGAAAACCAAACTGAGGAAAAAACAAAGCAGAACTTTAAACAGAACTCTAATTCAGTTGGTTTAAATAAAACAATTTGCCTACAGAGACTTAAAAGGTAATGCTAAATACTTAATTTTTCTCTGAATAATTTTCATCTTTGGTCTGGGGTTATTTTGATCTGTGTATCTTAATGCATGCAAAAATGTGAACATTGTCTTATTTTTTTAAACTTAAATATTCAAGAGTAAGAAAACAAGTATTTTATGGTAGTTCATGCAATTTAAAATTCTTCCCCCTTCTTCATCAAACTTGTTGAAAGGCAAAGACCTTAAGGGTAGGGAGGGAAGCATGATAACGTAATTACAGTCTTATACAACTATCGTATCATGGTAAAACTTTGCAAAACAAATGACATTCTTTGAAACATCACTTTCTGTGCTTAATTCAGCTTGTATGTTCAGTGCATTTAAAGTCACTGAATCATTATGATTTACTCAGTTTTACACACATAAATTGTATCTAATTAAATGGTATCTTCTCATTCAAAACATCTTATTTCCATTTCCAATTATTCGTTTCGGATTATGCCTTTCTGTGCTATATTTGGTACTTGATTTTTTTAATCTCTTCCAGCTTTTTCTACTGCTTTCATGTTTTCTCTAAATCCTTTCAAGTAAGTGTGCTCTCCTCTTAAGGATCTCAGTCCAAAGGATGTTCTCCAGGTTCTGAACCATTTTCCTGGATCTTTTCTGAAGTCACCAATTTTTAAAGTGCCAAATACAACAATAAACCATTCATATGCAAACAAAACAAACTACCTTTCCTCTTAACAGTTGACTTGGACAGTTGTTGTTTGGTTGGGGTTTTTTCCAACCACATCATTGTACTAAGACAGGAACTTGTGAAGATGTCTTTGCCTGGTATAACCCAACAACGTTTCCAGAGAAAGTTTCCAAGATACAATAACCAAAGAAGAGATACTTAACTATTTATTTTTTCTCTCCAAATGGGTAATTAATAATTGTTTAGTCTGAACCAGTTATTGTGCCAGTAATTGTATTTTACTACTTGGAATACCTTATTTATTTTCTAATCATTGAGAAAAATACAGAGCATGCTATGGTAGTTGTGACTCATACAGACAGTAGCCAGTAATAAATCTTGTTATTGAAAACCACTTTTGAGTTCTACTAGATCTTAATCTACTCAATAAACACTTCTGTATTGCAGAGTGCTAGTTTGAATTCTGAATACTAGGTCATTTTGCTGAAAATTTTACAAGCATCTTTTATGCAACAAGGTATCCAGTTCTGCAAATAGGCAATGGTTTGTGCAATTCTGGACAATGAAGGACACGGCCGACCCCAAAGTAAAAGGGTTAAACTGTTTTGCGTAGAAATTAATTAACTAGTACCAGCTACTTTACTTCAAGACATACAAACCTCCCCTTTTTTGAAAGTACTTGCAAAAGAGCATCCTTCAACATCCACCCTTCTTGGGAAGCTTGTACAAAGCTAGAAGAGTGCAAGTGGAACAGGCACTCCAGGGGAGAGAGGCCACGATGGCTCTGGGGTAAAACCTCTCTTCCATTCACCACACTTTCAGCAGCTACACCAGTTATAAGCGCCACAGGTGGGGAATGATGTACTCATTGCCTTCCCTTTTAACTCACAGGTTATATATTTGAAAAATAAAAATTAAAGAACTGAAATCTACCATATCAGCTGAATTTTGAATCACTTTTTCCTTTGTTTTGTCTGAGTTTTAAGTTTGATTTGCCAGTGTAGTTACTTGAGTGTTTCTGTTCCTTAAATTTTGGCAATGTGGTGCTTTTTCAACTGTACTTTAGGAACACCTAATATTTCAAAAGTCATTTTAAAAGGAGTATCAGTATACAAAAGATCTTCCAATGAAAATCTAGGAATTCCTGAACTTAAACTGTTTGGGCCTGATTTAAAATATTTATTGCCAGCAAAAAGAGTTGATGAATTACTTTTCATTCCCGAAGTAAATAAGAAATGTGTTCATAGCCTTGCAGTAGAGGAGAAAAGGGAACTGCATTGTCAGCAAGAGCTTGACAGTCTCCATTTAGCATCAAACCCTATTATTAGAACAATTTATTTCTACTATATTAAAAGGTGTATTATTCTGAACTCTCATAATTACAGATACAAAGATATGAAGACAAAACGAACTTCCTATATTAACTTCTGTGCCCAACTTCATGCATGAAGCTACTTTGCTACCTTTCAGATAACTATATAATGCTGGTATTGTTTATATGATGACACTGATGTAAGTCCTGGAGAATGTTTACTCATTTAATTCTGACATGCTGACAACAGCAAATATCACAGAAGTGTGACCATACACACCTCCAGTGAACCTTATGAAATTCTGGAGGAGAAGGATACAAAGCTTCTTTAGCTCCAAAACCTTTTTCCTTACAGGTCTTTGAAATTCATTGCAACTGACAGAGAAGAACCTCCTCCAACAGCAGCTGTACCAACTGTTATGTCAAATGAAAGGTAAGACAATTAAATACAGAGAACTTCTCACTCTTACTGAGCAAATTAGTAAGAGGGCAACAGATCTAATTTCTTAAAAAATTATTATTTATAAAGCAAAAATTCTTCACTAGAGACTCCTCATACCTTAAGAGCTCAGACAGCGTAATCGGTTCTCTCAACCAGAGTAATGCCATATAACAAAATGAAAGGGTCATTGGCATTGTCATCCTCAGTTTCTCCTTTTGGTTCTTCATAAAATACAAGCTGCCATCTACTGATCCAGAGTATATAGAGGTGCTTTCTTGGGTTTATGTTAAAAACAGAAGAGAAAAAAAGCAATTCATATGATAGACACATGATCCAAGGTATACAGAAAACAAGATAAATGAACATACAAGGACCCTTGTCCAACAACCAGTAACATTTTTAAATAATTACACAGAGTATTTTGGTTGGTTGTGTACCTTTCTACTAAACAGCTTAACTCTAATTTATTCATCTACCACAGCATGCAATAACAACCTATTTTATAAGCTGCTAATTCAGTTGACTAAGGTACCAGATCACACGAAAAGACAGAACTCTCTATGGTACCTACCAAAACAGACCTTTTGTTGGGAAGTATACTTAAACCTGGAGTTCTAGAAGGACATTAACTCCTATACAATATATAAATAACATTACTTATGAGCTGGCAATACTATTTTCCATTTGAGAGATAAGGGAACAGTGAGGAAACAAGGGAAAATTTGATGTACTTTAATCAATGACTCCCAGTTGGGGATTAAAACACTGTTTTAAATTTCAGCACAGGTAGGACTTCAACGAAAATGTTGTTTACACTGCAGAAATTTTACTGATGTTAAGGTCTGCCCTATAATCTCTAACTGTGGAAACACAGGTATTCTTTTAAAAACCATATTTAAATTCAACGTCAAAGAAACAACTTTTAAAAAGAATGTAGCAAATAATTAAGAGGGTGGAAAAACCCCAAACAAATAAAAAACCAAACCTCCCTACTTCCTTACTGAGATGAATCACTAAAAACTAAGAGGAACAGCAAAGAGAAAATTTAATTTAGCAGAGTGATTTATGAGTTAGGAACCTTTTCAGACAAATAATAAATAAAAAAAAAAGCTTCTCTTCACTACATCACGACCCAGCCAGGATGAAGAAAAATGCACTACAAGCACACCAGTACAAAATTCAGCAAAGACTCTGCAGAGATTTTTCTCTCTGTGTTTCCCCACAGACTGTTCACCAGTTCAGACAGGAACAGTGAGAGCTGGATGCACAGCTCCCCATGCACAGAACAGCCTGCAAAGCAGCCTGCACAGAACAGTTCAGAAGTGCAGGGAGCTTGGCAGCTCCGCGGTTACACTGGCAGGCGACAGCCACGCCTGCGAGGGGCAGCGGGCAGCGCTGGAGGTCCAGCCCGCTGATACGCGGGATGAGGACACTGCCAACAGCACTTCCACCGGCAGGGCTGGTCTGGGATGCCACCTACCGGCTCCTGAGCCGGCAGTGCTGTGGGCACGGCACAGGTAACAGAGCCGGCTCCGACACCTGGGACAGAGGAGAGCATCCTGTGTGGCTATCAGGCACCACTGCGTCAGAGAACAAAAGCAGGAACATCGGTTTAATCCTTGTAGTCAACGGCTTCACAGGGATGCCTGTCCTTGAAGGCAGCTTCATGACTGCAGTCATTATTAATTTCACATTCTTCAATTTAAAATAATCCTCACTATATTCGTGGCCTTAATGATGGCACACCATTTCCTTTTATTTCTTCTAGCTTATGCAAGGCATGACAACACACAGTTACACACAGCTAATAATTTAAGAGGTTTTATAGGCTTCTCTAGCAATATCTCAGTGCTATATTCAGTGGAATTTGCTATTAATCCTACAGAAAAAATAACAAAAACAGTGCTTGCCGTCTGGACAAGCCTCTTAGGCAAAGAAGGCTGTTGAGGTTTCTAGTCTGGCAACAACAGCTCAGCAAAAATGGCACTAAAGAGAAAATTTATGAATCTTCACAAGAGTTTACAATAGACTAGAGCACACTTACTATTACTTGTGTTAAACTTCAATATACAAAACTGTTCCTATGTTTGTCTGATTTCACCAAAATTTATTTTTAGCATCGTTGAACTCTTAATTAATTTTGAGTTATTATAATAAAATTGATGACTACTGTAAACTGAATTCAATCTCTGAAACAACAAACCAAGAACATGAAAAATTATGGCCTATTTAGGACTACCAAGCTCTTCTAAAACTCTAAGAAACATAACTATAAAAGGCACAAGTACCGAGGAAGAAAGGAGTTCCTCTAGACATCAAAAAGGGGAAGAAAATTCCAGGGAATATTTTCACTAGTAATTTTTCACTCAATTCTTCGCTCTTCATATTATATTTGTGTAACAACCAAGATTCTACATGTACAAACACACAGTGACTCTTTACCTGATAATGTTGTCATTTTAATATATAAGGGTGAAAGGTACTTGAAAAACATTCACAAAAACTTGCATCACCATTTTTGCACCTTTTGCCCCCTCCCTATTTCTGTTTGGATTTTCTAAAATGCATTTATTTTTCTAATTGCTGTTGATCAAATTTCTCATTCTATTCCATTTCTGGATTTTACAAAATAAAGAGAAAAGCACAAAGTAATAAGACTGCATTCTTCTGAGGGCAGACAGGCAATATCACAGAAGAACAGAAATGGGACATAAAGCGGGTAGTACATAACAGAGGAATAAGAAACACTGAGACAGATGAAGGAAAAGGCAAGCAAAGAATAAAGCAAAAAAGAAAGCCTCAGGAATTTAAAATGCAAGGAAAGCTTTCAAATATGCCTTGAAATGTATTTCCAGTATCAGATATTGCAGCACTGTCTGGCATTACATTTGCCCAGTAGCACTAAACAGTTCAATTTTCTATAATGTTTTAATTTAGGAGTTTAGTATTCTGCAAATATTTTCAAGCTGGTATGGTGAGCAGAAAGTAGAAACTCACAGAACACTAAAATATGATTTTTCAGAGAAGGGGTTATCGGGAAATTAGTAAAAAGAATACAGAGACAAAAGATACAGAAGTACCAACATACTTTAAAGAAAAAAATTAAAAAGCTAAATATATCTATGGGATAGAAAAAATATGCTCCCCCCAAAAAAAAGAACAAACTCATGTTTTTTAACATCAAAGTCATGACTGACAGCTCTGCTACTGGCTAAACAAGTGCTTATTCTTCAAAGCTGCTGTGTTTGTGAACATCTAGCTTTGCAGATAAAATAGCAACTTTTTCCCACTCCAAACAAGAGGTGTGGAGCAAACCTGTTATAAAACAGAACTTCCTCCTGCATTTCCCATTGTATTTACAGGTCCTGTTCAACTTTCATCTCTCAGGGTGGGGGTTGAGGGGGGAAGTCATCTATTTCTGGTAGAATACAAAGTACTGCCGTGGCAAACAGGACTGAAAACTTTACACCTTCCAACCAGTTCCTCCAATTCACTGTACACAAATATACTTTATATTTATTTATATTTAAAAACTACAGAAAAATGGTTTCCAGAAAGTTCAGTTCACTGCTCCTACCTGAAACCTTGCTCATGGACGAGGCAAAGCTGCAGTCAGTCTGCAGATCTCCCTCACTTTCAGAGAGGGACAGCAAGTGCAGAAGGTTGGGCCTTTCTGGTTCACTGTCCACATCAGTACTGCTCTCACATACCTGTTTTTTGTAAATACATATTTGTATTAGCTACTGTTAGTTACTGTTTCAATCTTAACAAACCACATAAAGCAGGACAGACACAAAATCAACAGTAAAAGTTAAAACCCAAACTATTCACATTTTCACTTTTTCTATAAATCAATAGCACGTGAAGAAATACGGGGGAAAAAAGTATTTTTACAGGATTTCTCAATATTAAAAGACTTCTTGTGAATACATTTCAATCTGCCACAATGACCAGAAAGTTGGTAGCATATAGAATCAAAGCTTGATGAAATAAGTAACTTCAAGAGAGCAGGCAGGACAGGATGGTAGCTGCTGATGCATTTTCCATTGTGATTTCTATCTACTGATTATATGAGTCAAGACAAAGCAATATTTTTAAATAAGCAGTTTCAAATACTTACAGAAGTATTCATCTCTTAAAATAGGTAAGAAAAAACCCCAGAAATAACAAAATGGACATGTGGAACCCTGTTCAGTTGACATCCTGCATACTGAAGTGACATTATTACCAGCCAGATATCTTGAACAAAGAATGTTTCTGTTGTTGCTTTTAAAAAGATACCAAACATCTCAAGGGATTTAAGCTTTCACTTACTGATAATGCTTTGACAGTTTCCCCAGCTGGTCTGTTGCAATATGCCTGTTTGCTCTTCTGAAGGTAACACCTCCAAAAATTGTACAGAACTTCATCCTTATAAATACAAATGGATGATTAGTACAAAGTTTACAAGATTATTAATTGCTGAGAGAACAGAGCGTAACTTCTAACTCAGGAATATGAGTAATATTCCATCTCTAATTCTACTAACTGTGATTTATAAAATATTTTTTTAAATTACCAGAGATACAAAATTTGATTTTATAAGCTCAATGTTTTTAAAGAGGGAGTTGTTTGAGTCACTTCAAAAATTAAATTTTTTTAAAATAACACCTTCTGTAACACAACTCACTGACATCTACATACCTTCATTTGTGGACATACTCCTAATGCTTCTAAAGCTTCAGCTTGTTTCTTCAGTACAAGTTGAAAGCCTTCACAAACATACCATTCACAGCCTCTATCTAAGGAAAAAAAAGGGGGAGAGTTCTGTTTGTAAAGTTTTGGTTTCTTTAACCTTATGCGCACTTATTTCCACTTAACATTCTGTTCCTTTGGTACCAGGACAAAGACATGTCTCTCTATTTAAGACTTTCAGATCCTACTGCATAGACCAGCTACACTAAATACTTCCATTTATTCACAGCCTTAAACAAGAAGAAAAGTTACTGAAGAAGCACTGCTCTCCACACATTTCCCAAGAATAATATATTTCACTATAACATCTAGTGAGGCATTTGTAATCGAGTGGAGCATTGTTAAATGACCAGTTTTAAAATAACTAAGAACCTGCCATTAAAAAATGAAATATGAACATTTCTTTCCCATCCCTGGCACAGAAACCTGGAACATTATGGTAGTGAGTCAGGCAAAAAAACAACCAACACCACCACATGCTTCACCATTCCCTCCCACAGAATCCTACACGTTTAAATGAGAGAAACTTTCTCAGATATTCCGAGCTTCTAGCAAATCTTAGCACAACATGAATTTCATAAGGACTGGGCCTGCTCTGGTCTATTCCCTATTTCTTCAGGCTGCATTACATTTACTTTTCACCCTTACCTCTCTCTGTTTACTACTAGGCTCTTCCACAGGCTTTTGGTTTTAGAAATTTTCTCTGCATTTCTCAACTCTCTTTTCATTCCCCCCACACCTGTTCTTCATTACCTTTCCTCCCAGTCAGACCTTGCCTCTTGCCATCTTATAGGTTATCTGCCCAAAGCTCCTGCCCTGCTTCAGTGATGCTGGCCTTAACTGTTACCCACAGATACAGCTTACTCCTATAAATGCACGAAAACACAGTATAACATGACTGCACTCACAGAAGGGACTGTGTGAAAGTAAAGGTTTGTTTCTTCAGAAGCCTGGGAGTCAACTAATGACCTTCCCCACAGGGTAAACAAAAGCATGAAGTGCTGGGCACATGGTCCAGACTTTAGGAGCAATACAGGACAAGGACAAGTGGAGGTGTTCAGGTTGTTTCAGCCCTCCCTCCGCTTCCTCACAATTGCTCTTTTCAGAGGAATGCAGCAATCCACTGCCACTGCAGCAGAGCAATGGTAGATCAGCACATCAGAGACAAGGATAACCCCATGCTTCGTTTGGCATTGTAATGCAGCTTTATTTCTGAAAGTGGCCACAACAATAAGAGATCTATCCAGTCATCACAGAACACACACACAGCTCCAGCAACAGCCTTACCATGATATTCTTATGGCACAGGTCCTCATATATAATGACCATTACTGTTTTGAATCATGAAATTAAAAGTATAAAAGTGACTCTGGGTGAAAGATGTAATATTGATTCAGCTATTGGAACTCCATGAAAACTCCTCCACGGAGTTTTGTGCAGGTTACAGGGACAAGTACCTGTAACACAAGCCAGTCTGAAACTAAGAGCTGGACCACTGTCATATCTCACTCACCAAGACAAAACAACTTCTCTGGTTTTGTGATAGCCATCACAAGGAAGGAACAAAGCGATCACCACACCTGAATGCATGCCACCAGTATCTTCAGTGAGTATTTACTTCCACAACTCAAAGCAGCAATAAGTAACACACGTGGCTCAGTTCAGTCAAAAAAACCCCAACATAACTGGGCTCACAGAGGTTACCTGTGGCTCAGGAAGTCACCAAAAGTGATTGCTGACGGTTATAGCAGCATCTAGAGGGTGTGTTTTGTTTCCACTCCCACAGTCTTTGCTAGCTATCTGCTTTTGGTCTCCATCAAAGACATAATGGCCTAGGTGAACCCTGGCTGAACAGCCACTCATGCAAAACACAGACAGAAAGTCATACATACCAGCTTTTTCCTGCTTTCTTGAACCTTTGGAGATTGTCTGGACTCTTGAATTAGTCATAAAATCAGTGTTTACAACTTCTCTACTTCTCTGCAAAATAGGAGTATTATCTTAGCAAGAAAAAAAAGCCAAGTCTAACTTGCATAGATTGCCCCATCATAAAACATAATGGAGGAACTTATTCAAATTTCCTAAACTAAGAAGAGGACAGGACGTTCTTAGTTGGAACTAAGTTGGAACTTTTCATTCAGAAATTGCTAAAATAGAGAATTGCTATCATGGTCATACAGGTGACGTGCACCAGGGCTTGCCTACATTTGTACCATAGTAAAATGCAGCAACACCCAGGCAATGCTTCTAAGGCATCCAGACAGCACCCCAGGACTACAGCAACACAGCAGGCCAAGATGGCTCATTCTAAATTTTGTGATTTCAAGGAACATTAATCTTAAACAGCGTCAAGTAAAGCATGAAAAAGGAAGAATAACAATACTGCTGTCAAGGAGAAAAATCTAACATTTTCTTAATATACAGAAAGAAGCATTCATAATAAGCCTTTTCCAAAGTCATTAACTTAGCTTTTTACCTCAGTAACATTGTGGCAAGATCTGCAATAATATCTGCCTCCATCAGTGAGACCCCAGTTCACTTCTGAACACTGGGCACAGCGTTCATTAAAATCTCTCTGAAAGGAAAAAAAAACAAACACAAGAGTGTTTCCCAAGTGTCTGGGTATAAAAATTGGCACTATTACCAGGCTACTACATAGCTTTTGGGATTATTTACTTATTATTTATTATTATTATTTATTAGAGAATATTTACACTTTTTCTGTTGGCTCTGGTTGGTAACAAGTGATCATACGTTTTGTTATCAGCCACAGGCAACTCTAAACACGGAATTTTAGCTGGGAAGCATTAACAAGTGTGCGTGTGAGCATTAGAACCAGGGGAATTAGAACACCCACGTGGCATGGCTTTAAAAAAAAAAAAAAAAAAGGGGGGGGAGGGAGACAAAAACTAGAGCGGGAGGCGAAAGGCAAAATAAATTTCTGGAAACGCGAAAAAAGCCTGCACGCGCCGGGAGAGAGGGAGACCAAAAGAAGGAGGGAAGAGGGAAACCAACAGATTAAAACAAAGCGGTTTTCAGAGGCAGCCCACACGTGCGTGCTGGGGACGGGCAGCTCGGCCGGGCCCATCCCCGGCCGGGCCCGAGCACCGACCCGCGCCGCGGGGCCGCGCAGGGCCTCGCCCGCCGCCGCCGCCGGGCCCCGCTGTGGGCAGGGCCGGGCCGGGGCGGGCAGCGCCCGCCCGGCCCGGCCCTGCCCACAGCGGGGCCCGGCGGCGGCGGGGAAGTGCTGCCTGCGCCCCGCCGGCTCCCCCCGGCCCGGCTGCCCCCCGGCCCGGCTCCCCCTGGCTGCCCCCCGGCCCCACCGTGTCCTCCTCGTCCATGGCGGCCGCGCCCGGGGCCGCACCATGACAACCGCGCCCGCGCCACCGCAGCCCGTCTGGAAACGGCGGCCCCGGCGCTGGCGTTCCGGGCGCCGCGGGGCCCCGGCGGGACGGGGTTGCTTCACTGAGGGGACATGGATATAGGTGTTAGAGATTAGATATAAGGAACAAATTCTGTACCGTGAGAGTGCTTAGGCAGTGGAACAGGTTGCCCAGGGAGGCTGTGGATGCCCCATCCCTGGAAATGTCCAAGGTCTGGTGGGATGGGGCTTTGAGCAACCTGGTCTAGTGGGAGGTGTCCCTGCCCATGGCAGAGGGGTTGGGGCTGGGTGGCCTTTAAAGACTCTTCCAACCCCTTAACATTTCGTGATTTTATGATACGTGTGCTTCACCTTTGAAGGGGACGTGGCTGCTTCAAGGGGACATGAGGTGCTTCCTCACCCTGGTGTGCCAGGGACTGGAGGCTACGTGTCACAGAATCACAGAATCAGTCAGGTTGGAAAAGATCTCTGAGGTCATCGACTCCAACCTATGACCAAACACCACCATGTCAAGCAAACCGTGGCACTGAGTGCCGCATCCAATCCTTCCTTTAACAATTCCAGGGACAGTGACTCCACCACCTCCCTGGGCAGCCCATTCCAATGTCTAATCACCCTGTATCTGAATAAATTCTTCCTACTGTCCAACTTACACCTGCCCTGATGTAGTTTGAGACTGCAATCACATGTGCAGTTTTAAGATTAAGACTTTGTGTGCCCTCCCAGCCCACCGCCATCCTCTGTGCTGAGCTCCTGCATCCTCACCCTCCCATCTGCCTGAGCAGGTACACTCAGCTGGTGACCACTGAGGCTGAGCCGAGGCTGTTGGACACAGACTGCTAGTGCCTGTACAAAAGGAGGCCACAAGAACTCATTTAACTATGTAAAAGTGCTTAGAGATCCTTGTTGAGAGAAACTGTGATCTGAAATTCACTTTCAATTAAAAAACAACACCCAAACCTCCAGATCTTGATGCAGGTCTCTAATTTCTTGCACGCTAATAATAATGTTTAAAGATGTCTAAACACCAAGATCTGTTATTGCAGTGAATTTGCCCACAAAATTGGAGAACAGGTTTAGGCCCTTTAAAAAAAAAAAAAAGGTCCACTAAGTGAAAGCATGGGAAAAAATTAAAGCTAAAATATACATAGAAAGAGGTGAGGCTGCTTTGACAGCTGTGGTTACATTGATGTTGGAGGATATGTACAGAGCTAGAGGGGAACTATTTGTGTTCAAGAAAAAAGTTATTACTCATACCAACTGTGATCTTTTTTCAGTGTGGGATGAACATTTGTAACACCCTTTAAAGAGAATTGCACATGTAATTCCTGCCATGTTAAAAAGGTGATTGTCAGCCTCTCAGAAATGTAGCTAATACTTTGATGAAACAGATCCTACTTGTGATTTTAATTTCCTTTTCTATTTTTTGTGGAAATACTGTTCTGGGAAAGCAAGACCATTTCATGTGACAGGAGGTGTTAGATCTATTTCTAATGAATTTCCAAGATGAAATACTATCTTGAAAAAATATCAGGGCATCTGTATCTGTGATAAAAGAGGAAGAGTTGTGCTCCAATGCAGAAGATAAGGCATGGCTGCCGAGAGCGGTGTTCATGTGTGACTCCTGGCTGTGAGCACGCATTGGGCCTGCTCAGTGGATTGAACTAAATTGAGGTACTTGTTTAAATTAAGCCTGGATGTGCCACTTTGATGAGGCAGGACCTCGGAGTTAGGTCTTCTATTTTCTAATTACAGCTGGTCAATAAAATATTAAAGAAAGTTTAATCACTGGACTGCCATTTTGTAAAAAACACTTCATATTCAATGGCAGCAGTTGCAGATAAACAAGGAAAGAAGGTGGGTGACCGTACAGGGAACTGCACTGGTGTAATTGTAGGCGCACTGGTGCAAGGCGCCAGTAAAGTTTTTGAACAGGCAAGCCCTTACTCTCTGCTTTTGGACAGCCCACACTGCTTTTCTGAGCTGCATTTTCCATGCAGGTGAAACAGATATGTAAAGGTAACAAATTTTGGAAGGGAACTTGGACAGTGACTGATACTAATATTACTAGTTACTTATTAGTATCCAGGCTCTCCATAAAGGCAAAGCTTCTATCCATATTTCTGAAGTCCATCAGCTAATTAATGCAGACTACTAATCCGGTAGGAAAAAAAAAAATCAAAGCATAATAGGGTTAGCAAGTCTTATATCTGTTTCTTAAATATTTTTTGAAATGACAAGTGTAAAACCGGTTTTTCTGCATATAAAATTATGTGTAACCTTTGTCCCTAATTACAAGTTACCCAAGCATACTGATAGGGCTATGATAATTTCAAAGCCAGGAGACAGACTGTCTTCCTGCTTTGGCTCACTTTTCTAATTAAGATCATTATGCATAGTAGTCAGATTGATTTGAGGCTTAGATAAATAATACGTCCTGTTGTTTCCATTGATTTGAATTTTTAATGAACTGAGTTCCATTGCTGATATCACATTTCTGGCTCTTGACTGCAGACTTTCTACATGCGAAAATGTAAAAACTACACATTGGACTGAAAGACGTGTCCCTTGGCCTATCCTTTGGGATATTGCTCATGAAATTGTGCTGGCTCCAGGATACAAACTTCTCTAGCAGAGAATCTCCCCAGAGTCTTTACCCACTGTCAGACACCTACTACAAAGAGTTAGATCAGAAAAGCAACCTCAGCTGCTTCAAAGATTGAGTAGATGAACACAGGGCAGATCTACCAGATTCAAGTTTATGGAAAACACACACAGTTATTAGCACCCACAATTTCATCTTTGCACCATCTCTCTCCATGGAAGAACTCATGTTTAAAGGCAGACAGAAAACAAAAGGGAAATTAGGAGAACATGAAGTAGATGGCTTCACTCTAACCAGCCCTTAGAGGAGAGAGGAGACCACACTGCTGAAGGGGTCAAGGGGAAAAGCTGTGCCAGCAGAAGTGCGGTTGGAGGCAAAGGCACAGCGAGTTGTGCAAGGAGCCGGCAGAAGAAGGGACAAAGGTGGGAACAGCACCAAGGCGTAGGGGTTGCAGCAAGCTCGGCAGGGGAGGATAACCAGGGAGGGGCTGGGCTCGGAGGAGCTTTGAAGGAAGCGACAAGAAGAATGAATTTAACGTTACAGCTTAGACACACCCAGCACTGCCTTGTGATAGTTACTGTTTATTATACAGCTTCAGCTCTCAAATTTTATTAGTTAAATATGTTTCTAGCCCTGCTGTGGAAGACTGAAAATACTACCTCAAACACCCAAAAGAACAGAAAGCAAATACTTTTTTTTCTAAAGTTTACTCAGGTTTTCTTAATATTTTCTTAGGACGTAAGCAACATGAATTTTGATTTTTGACTACCAAAAGCAGCAGTGTTGCACTGAGGAGGGAGAACAGCCCTGTGCACCCAATCTGGGGTTCCCACCATGAGCATTTGCTTTGCACATGTGCTGCAGCCCAGCCTATCTCACACTCACACTGCGGGACCACAGTCTCATTGCAGTTTCACCCGTGGCTCTGCATGCTCAGAGAAGTGGTAATGCTGTATGGCCACCCAGCCAGGGGTGTTTAGAGACACAGATTGCAGGGCAGGACCTCACATTCAGATGAGCTGCTCTAGGAGGCAAAACTGTTTGGGAGGCCGTGCTCGTATGTGGCCAGCCAAAAAGTGATTTGGGAGGTCTACCTGGGGATGCTGAAGTCTGGTTGAAGTCAAGTAAATACCTCATTGTAGGTCCTGGCCTTCTAAGGCAAAATCTCTTTCCTGAGGAGCACCAAGCTGCTATCCTGCTGTCCATACTAACAGAGACTGCACCCCTCAGTATGTGTTGACTATGTTAATGTGATCCTACAGAGACATAGAGCAGGGGAAGGACTAGGAGAGAAGGTGATCTTAGCAGCCACAAAGCAACAGAGAAGGCATTGAATGTCCCATTTCATATTCCAGGCATATATAAGGCCTGTATTTTCTAATTTTTCAGAATTTATTGAGCAGCTAACATGAAATATTCCTTGAAGTTGTAATACCTAAGAATTTTCTGTGTCAGATTTGGTCTAGTTTCTAGCTCTAAAGGGACTCTTGGGTTCTACTATAGTGTTGTGCATCCATAGAGCCCTAAAGATTGTTCTCAAGATCATTCTTGGATGTGTTTAATCCACAAATGCAGTGGTATTTTTAAAGGAATTGAGAGCCACCTTGTGGAGCTGGGATTTACAAAGGGTCTCGAAATAATACTGCTGGCAACAGCAGCTACTCACTGCTAGAAATCCAGATCCAACACGATCCTGGAGATTGTCAGTCTGGGAAACATGCACCATGCACATGTCTGTGTGTGTTCAGCACACGGTGCATCACAGAGCTGCTCTGCTGACTAAATCTGGAGAGCAAACAAATATACTTGTGGGCAGTGGCAGACAGGAATGTAAAACTGTCAGAAAAGTGCAGAAAGCAGCAGAATCAGGGAAGCAAAGTAACATATTCATTATGTCTTACACAGCCTTGTTGTGTGTGGGGTGTTGGTCACAGGGCGTTTTTCACCATATAATTAATTAAGCCCCAAAAATGCTGATAAATTTTCTTAAGGTTTCTGTCACAGGCTTTTTTCCTTCTTCAGTCATTCATTAACATTGAGAATTAGGATTGTCAGAGCTCGAATACCAGCCCATGCTCTATAACCAGAGAAATAATAAAGATGGGAATACTTATGTGACACCAGTAGTTGTTTTGTCATGGAAGCAAAGAATAGTCTTGGTTCTGAGGTTGCAACAGGGACTATGAAATAGTTCATTTACCATTTCTCTCCCACCATTTCTCACGATGGACTCAGCTGCTTGTCAGTACCAGTATGTGGATGCCAGCATATGGTCTTGCCAAAGAAAGAGGAATTCATTTTTTTTCAAACCTTCTTGGTCTTTTCCAAGACCTTTATGCAGAAGCAACTTTATCTTCAGTAGATCATGTCTTAAGAATGTATTTTATATAA